GGGGGGGGGGGGGAGTGCAGGCAGCAGGGCTATTAAATGTTATAGACATTCAATTTATCCAGCAATACCCAAGACTCTTTGCCCTGATAGCAGTCCTCTTAAAAGCTCTTCCCCGTATCTTTTATATCAGCCAGGAATAGGCAGATATGAAGGTGGGGAGCACAGAGGCACCTGCTGGGAATGAGGCCATCTGACCAGAGCCTGGCTGAAGGACACTCAGGTTAAGTTTTGTGCTCCCCCCTCCCCCATTATCTCCTAGGAGCTTTGCCTGACAAAGGGGACCTGATGCAGGACCCAGCCATGGATGAGGAGCTGGACAGACTGTAAGTATCAGGTGGGAAGATGCTGCCCCCTTATGGTGGCAAACCTCAGTAGGACATGGCAGTGCCCCCTTGTGGAGTCACACAATGCTCGTCCATAACACCCCCATCAGTCAGGGAAGGGCTTAGGGGCCAGCAGAGGGCCAAGGTATCCTTTCTGAATCCCTTGGGAATATAGCCCATGGTTTCTCCCAAATGCAAGTGTGGAGGTCCTGGTCTCTGGACAGGGGGCACCTTGTTGCCCTCTGGGCTTCTTTCCTCCTTCAGGCTGGCCCAGATCCCTGACCTGGTCAACTCAGTCACTGCCAGTCCAGAGGCCAGCTGCCTGCCTTCCCGGACCCCTCACCGGGCTGGCTTTTCCTGGAGACCCCTCCATCACGCCCGCAAAGTGGATGCAGAGAGCGATGGCTCCACTGAAGAGACAGAGGAGTCCGAGATTTGAGGAGCCTGAAGGGTCCTGACTACACCCAGTACCCAGCTCCTACTCCTGCCCAAATCCTCCTGCCCCCATGCCATGCTGCCCTCTGCTGGCAAAAAGGCCAAATAACAGCCCCAGTCCAAGACCTGCCAGAGGGGTTCTGTATCAGCCAACCCAAGCAGTGATTCAAGAAAGTGAGCCTACTGTCAGCCCTTGCACTTTAGTCAGGCCCCAAGCTGACAGCAGACTGAACGGAGGCCACCAGGAAGAGACTTGGCCGTAGCCTTTTGCTGACGGTTCATCTCACAGCAACTTCAGGAAGGGGAAAGACCATGAGTAGGGCTACATAGGGCCTTGCATGCTTACAGGTGGCACCAGTGGCAGAAGTATAGGAGGGCATAATCACAGTAGCCTACTGGAGAGAGGGTGAGCAAGACCATTGCACTCTCAAAAGCTGCTTCAAGCCTCCTGTGTCTATCAATTAAATGTGAAATGAATAAAGTCCCTGTGTCTGCTAAGCGGTGAGTCTAAACTCACTAGACCAAGGAGGGGGTGAAGGGAAGGGGGTGAGTTTGGGTTTTGGTGCCAAATCCCAGGTTTTCTGGGAAGTGGGGGCCAGAGGACCACTCAGCCTGGAGATCTGCCTCAGTAATGAGCAGAGGGGCTCACCTCTTGCACATGACAGCCTTTCAAAGGAGAGGTACTCACAGTTGAAATGGGCCTTCAGGGAACAAGTCCAGAGGGTTCAAGGCAAGGTTCCTGTAACTTTAAAGGCCCTGGCCACAAAGGGTCAGCACTGCAGAGCCTTCTAGCCAGAGTTTCACGAAACATTTGCCAAGCACCTGCTCAGGGCTAGGGCAGCGAGGATGTAGCTGTGAACACAGGCCTGAGGAGTACAAGCCTCCAGCCAAGACTGAAGGAAGGTAGGGGTCCTCCAGAAAGTAAAATCCACCTGGGGACCCTAGCAGAGCAGGCTGCCTCCTTTGAAATAGCCAAAGGTCCCACCACTGGGTGTACACTTTCCTGGGCCCATCCCTGCCCAGATCTCCAGCTCCCCTGGAAATACAGGAACTGGCCCCTAAAGCCCTGGAGTGCCAGGACTGGAAGTTTCAGGACTACCAAGGCTCCAGGAACCTGGAAGCTCTCCAGGCCCACAACCATATCCAGCCTCCAGCTGATTAAAAGCAGTTGGAAAATCCTTATGTGCATTGGAATCACCTGGGGAGTTTACAATGCAAATTACCCAACTCCAGCTTGGGATGGGTTGCAATTCTGGACACTCCAGACCATTCCAAAGCTAAAAGTCCTGGACCCATGCTTTGGAAATCACAGGCTTAGTAGAGATCCCACAGCTCCCTCCACCCACGCTTTCTAATCATCCATCTTCCAGACCAGTGGTTTACAGCTGTACCCCTAAGAGGGTAGAGATGTTCCAAGAGCTCTCATAGGGAAAGGGGTCGCCAAGCCAGGGGTTTACACACACATCTTTTCTTCCTGGATTTAAAAGGATTCCATTAAGGTCTGTATATTTTATTAACTCCACTGTGAAACATCCCCAGGCTACTATTGGGATGAGGTACAGGGCTGCTGAGGTTGCTCACCTGCCCGCAGCCATGGGGCCAACTAACACCAGCTCTTTCCTCCGCGTGCAACAGGGTGGTGAGGTCGAGGCTGCACCGGACCTCGAGGCAGCACAGGGCCGAGAAGCCAGGGGACTTTGGCTTTCAGAGAAGAGACAAGCTGGAGGCCCTGGAGAAAGTGCCCTCAGCTTTGGCACCAACGCCCTATCCATATCGGTGGGAGCCCAGACAGTGAGGCGAGGGGCCTACACTGGGCAGGGAGGCAGAATCCAGAGAGGACACTACTTTACTCAGACCAACAGGGGCCCAGGGCCCCACCGGGGCTTTATTTGACACCACTATGTTTCAATACAAATAGTCCAGAAAGAAACTCAAGTCCCTTTGGGGGAGGGGTGGGTGGGAAGTGGTCTGTGTTGCTTGGGACCCCGACCCTCAACCCACCGGGAGGGATAGGGGGGCCCAGACTGCCAGCATGGCAGGGGAAGATGGCACCAAGGATGACACAGTGCCTGGCCTAGTGGCCAGGGGGTGAGGCTTGCAGCTCTGTAGACACCTCAAGCTCTCACTGGTGGGGTGCTGTCCAGGGCCCCCTAAACCCAGGATGATGCAGAGAAAGAAAGCTGAGCCCCAGGAGTCTGCTTCTGTCCCTCATGACCTCTACTTCCTTGGCCAGCATTATGCTCACAGCATCCAGAGCAGGACACCACAGGGCAGATGAGACTCGCCATGGCCCCCAAGCAGGCGGAAAAAGGAGAGTCTCAGGAGGGGACAGAGGGTCTTGTGGTCCACATGGATGGTAGGGAAGGACTCCGAGACACCCGGGAGGAAAAGTAATCCTCCAAGTGACCACTGTAAAAAGGGATGGGGACAGATCATCACTCAGGCCTCCAGTCTGATCCAAAATGAAACCTTTAGGTACCAGGTCAAGTTTCTAGCCCTTAGTAAGGCCCAGATGAAGGTCCTTTGCCTCCCCTGCCCTCTCCTAGGGCCCAGAAGAGGGCACTGGAGCAGCAACAGCAGCAGCAAGTCCAGAGCCTCCCTCCTCCGGGGACTGGTCTACCCAAAACTCTTCCTGGACCTCCCCACTGGTTCCAGAGGACAGGGGCCAAACCCCTGGACAACCTGGAAGGATCCTAGAGCTGGCAAAAAAGCCTTATACGTCACTTTCCCTACTTGGGGAAGGGCTGGACCCAGAATGTGCCATCCTGAGGAGCTGCCCTCCCCTCACTCCCAGCGTGGCAGGACAGTGAGCAGCAGCTGTGGGAGCAGGACGGAAGGACAATAATCTAGCACAGGGGAGAAGGTGTGAGGGAGGACAATAAAGGGCTGGATCTACAGGCAGAGGTCAAGGGCTGGTACCACCCATCCCCTCACCAGAGATCTTCAAAGGCCACCCCACTCACAAACCACACATAAGTAACAATTCCTCCCCAGCTTCCACAAGGCAAGCAGCCCTGGCCTGGTAATCATGGGGGTTTTGCTGCTGTCACCACCATGTGCCTGAGCCATGGAGCTTGGATCAGTAGGAACCATAGCGATCCTGGAAATGAAATGGAATTAAAAACAAAGTCAGCATCTCTAACCTGCAGCAGCTTCCCAGCATGTGCACCCTCCCCCAACACACCAGGCAGGACTAGGATGGGGGGGGGGTGGTGGAGAGACAGGCACCAATCTCACTATGGCAGAGATTGTTTTATATTTTGTTGTGACCTGGGAAAGGGGTTGTGGCCAGATCCCAAGGGGGAAGCCCTGCCTGATCTCATAGAAGCTGGGGAGGGAAAAAGAGTAGTACAAGTGACAAGACAGGGAAATCAGTGCAGCCGTGACATCTACGTAGGGAGAGGCCCAGCCCTAGTGCTGAGCTCAAAGGAAGGAAGCTGCCCCTCTGGAAAAGAAAATGCTCTCTCAGGCTGAGGGGCTACCCAGTAGCAGTGTCTGGATGTGGTGAAGGCCAACATCTAAGCACTACTCTTTAGGCCCCTCCCACCCCAGGTTAAGCGGCCCCCAGCTCACCTGCAAAGAATTCATCACACCATTGGCCAGCACAGCCATCTTCCCGGCCACAGACTTGACACCCTGCTTAAACTGGGCAATGTCAGCCGTAGGGAGCACATTCCCCAGTGATACGCTACCTGTAAAAGCAAGGGAAGGGGTGACCCAGAGGCCTGCAGGAAGCCCTGCCCAGTCCACTGGGCCCTCCAGCTCTGCTCACAGGCCTTGCTTGGTACCCACACCTCTGGGGTGCTACCTGTTCCATGAGCTCCATCCATGTCCCCAAAGAGGTCTGAAGAGCTGATGGCACTACTGCCTGAGAGCTGCTGTAGCCGAGACCTAGCTTCATACTGTGGTGAAGAAAAGGAAAGCCTGGGGATCTTTTGGCCTATGTCCTAAGAATTCATACAAGCCAGCCACCCTAGTGCTAAAGCCCAAACTAGTGGCAGGGGGGAAGGGTTTGCTTCTACCCGTTGCCTCCAGCCTCAGGGTGGACAACTCTGCTTACCTCAGTATCCACCTCCCGCCCAAAGAACATGTCAGATGAAATGGCTTTGGCTCCTGCAAATTTCTGACGTGCTTCACTGGACTCGAGGCCCGAGCTCCGGTTCTCCACTTCCCTCCGGTTTGTGACTCTGGGGATGGATGGGAGACACCATCTCTCACCCTTCCCGTTACTGTCAGGGGACAGTATTACTATCCCATTATAATCAGAGGCAAATATGGGGATGCTCACCCAGGCCCTATCTGACTGGCTCTGGCACTCAGGGGCGGGTTCTCCCCTGGATGAGGTCCCTCCCTTCTCCATATTGAAGACAAGTGGCAGACAGCTTGTTACCTCCACTGCACAGTGTGGAAATGTAGTTTGGAGGAACCCAGGCTTCTGCCCCAACTACTACAGCTTCTTCAAGGTCTAGGATATCATGTCACTACTGCTCTTCTATTCCTAGTTACAAGTGACCATGTGTCTCGGTTTGCCAGGGTTTATACTTACTCTCCTGGAATAATTAACAGCACCCCCTTTTACTCTCAAAAGCACCCCAGTGTGGATGAAGAGGTGCATGGTCACTCCTATCCAGCACTGACACACACAGATGCTGGGTAGGTGTTTTCAAGTTTCATTACATTTAATCCTGCCAGCGGCCCTGTGAAATCATTACTTGTGTTCCTGTTTTACAAACGGATGATTTGCAGATAATTTACCAATTAAACATATTGCCCAGATTAAGATGGAATAGGCTTTTAAGAAAATAAGATGGGGGCCAGAGACACATAACCCTTGGGAGATCAGGATTGAAGCATAAAGTCAGACCCCTCCTGCCAGAGAGATGGACCTTGCACAAAAGAGGCTGCTAGGCCTTCTGTGATAAGCACAGCTCAAACCAAAGCCCAATTCCTGCACTGTCTGATCCAGTAGCCAGTAGCCACTAGCCACATGTGGCTATTTAAAGTTAAAATGTAGCTCCTCAGTTACACTAGTCACATTGTAAGGGCTCAGTAGCCACGTACTTAGTGGCTACAACAGCGGACAGTGCAGATACAGCTCTGCCATCATAAAAAGTTCTACTGGACAGTGCTGCCCTAGACCACTCACCTTTCTGAAATAGGCCGGATGCTTGAGATGGTCACTTCCGGCTCCTTCTCCTCCATCCTGTCCACACCCCAGGTGGCATCTGTATCCCAGCGGGAACCAAAACTTTCCCCCAAGGAAAAGGGGTTGTCCTTGTACCTAGAGAGACAATAGAGTAGCTCAGAGAAGGCTGATGAGGAACATGATAGCCAAGTTTTCACCCCAACAACATCCTTACTTTGGGGGTCCAGAGGCGAAAGTACCAACATCGTCAAACAAGTCCAGCTGCGAGCGGGAGGATTTTGCACTCACTGGGGTTTCCTGCTCGATCACCTGCATCTCAGACAACACCGAGTGGGAGACAGAGCTGTGGAGAAAAGCAGATCCGGGCATGAGAGGTGGTGAGCACTAGTGTCACCGCCCAAGAAAAGGTGCCCAGCTACTGCTAGCATAAGCCTAGGTTCTCCCACTGGGCACCACCCAAAGCCTTCTCCCTCTACCTGTGCACAGGGCTGGGCGAGACCCAGCAGGGAGTACTTGGAACTGTGCTGAACTGGAGAGCACACCCTTGACTATCTACACATGCTTTGTTTTCTCAGAATGAATTTTCCCTGACAGACGACCATTTGCCTATTATAATGTGCACCAAGTGACAGTGCTAACAGACTTACTGTACTAAAAGCCACATCCTTCACCAAGATGGACACATACACACAAAGAGGAAAAAAAGAAAAATGCCCCAGAACCAGGGAAATGAGTTTAATGGTATCAAAGAATGCGTTCTTAATTATCCCACCTGCTTTTTAAGAAGAGGAAAGCATTTCAAAGTACAGAGCCTGGCCCTATGCACTAAGACCTGGATCTGCTGTCCGGTTTCCAGGGAGAAGAGGCAGAGCTGGGCAGGCAGTACCAACTCTCGATGCCTCACTTTCCTCCTTGTGTCCTGCTCCAGACAGGCTTTTTAGGGATTAATTTCATTAAAATAAATTCATTAAAAAATATCTACAGCCCAGCTGGGCGTGGCTCAGCGGTTGAGCGTCAACCTAGGATCCAGGCGATCGGGATTCGATGCCCGGTCAGGGCACATGCCCGGGTTGCAGGCTCGATCAATGACTCATCATTGATGTTTCTATCTCTCTCTCTCCCTCTCCTTTCCTCTCTCTGAAATCAATAAAGATATAAAATATATATATATATCTACAAGGAGTGAATATTTTGCAATAGGATTTTAAATAGGATGGGCTGGCTTTAAATAAAATTCTTTTGTACTACAAAAAGGAAAAAACTGAAAAGTTGTAATTCCTGTGACCAAAACAGGGAAGGGGAAGAGACCTAAAGTTCTTTCCAGGATTAAAATTTTGTTTCCCTAATTAACTGGATTACACTAGTAGCACACAGACTGAAAGGGAAAAACTAGAATCCAACTAGCACGTTCTGACTTTTCTTCTTTCAGAGAAGTAGAATGTGATGGCCAAATATACTGAATTTGGAATCAAGTAGTTCTATGTTCAAAACCTATTTGCATCAATTACTAGATTTGTGGGCTTTAAGCAAGTTGTGTAATTGCTCTGAGTCTCAATTTTCTCATCTGAAAAAGGGGTAACAATACCTTCTGCATAGGACAGCCGTGTTTAAGTACATAAGGCCAATGCCGGAGCTCACATCCCCTCAAAAGGAGCAGCCACCACTCAGAACAAACTAACTGTAGCCAGGACTGCTGACCCCAGCGCTGTCAATTTCCAGATTTTTAGTAGATAAAAAATACAGTATTGTTGAAATCTCTAGATATTAACTCTTAGCGTAATATAAACAAAATGCATACAAGAACTGGTTTGCAGCCTTGTTTCTGTTTAAGAAAACCACAATACAATGTCCTGAAATAGGAAGAGCTGTCCATTCAAAGGACATTTGAATGTCTGGGGTTATTTCCGAGTGTTAGTATCTGGGAGCACCAGTGGGCAGCGATCGGGAATGCTAAAAGCCCTGAGATTCTGAGAGGTCTTGAAAAATAAAGAATTGTCCCCCTACTCAAACTGCCATCAGCACTCCCGTGAAGAAACACCGTTCCAGTCCCTTGGATCTAGTCAAAGAGCACCTGATCCTGTGTTTCATTCATTCAACAAACAGTGAGCACATACCTACTATGTGCCAAGCACTGTACTAGGTGCATTAAGATAATATGCAGACCCATCTATTCAGCCTTGAAGGAAGACTAAGCCTAGAACCCCAAACTGCTGGGAAGAACCTGCAGTGGTTCCCAGGAGAACAATGGCATTTCCCTGCCACCCCCAGAGCTGAGCCTCACCTTCGAGACACCAAGCCCATGCCCAACCTCTCTGCCTGCTCTCGCTTCTTCCCTTCCAGGTTCTGTAGTTTCTTCTCCTCCTTCTTCCGGTCAATCTGGAGCTCCTGGTAGGCCAGACGCATGGAGGCAACCCTTGGAAGGAACAAACGTGTCAGAGGCCAACATCCACCCTGACCTTCCTACCTGCCCACCCAATCCCACATGAGCCAGGGCCCCTCTGGCAAACACTCACATGGACTCCTCTGCCTGCTTCTTGGCATCAGCCACCTGCTGCTCACGGAGCTTCTCTGCCACCTGGGCCTGCCGCTCAATCTCGCTGAAGCTCTGGCTGCTCACCTTCTGGGCCCCTAGGCCTTTCTTGGCACCCAGCTGGGAGGAGAATCATGTGATGGGGGCCTTGCCAACAACAATGTCCTCCACTCCCTCCCAGGCATGGGTAATCTAGCACACTCACAGGAAAGGATTCCTTCTTAAAGTTCAGGGTAAAAAACAGGAGCCCAGTCAGCATGGTCAAGAGGGAGAACAGGCTCTGCTAGAGCTAGGCATGAGATGGCTCACACAACCCCAGCAGAGGCCTCAGGGCCTGACAGCAGCTAATGTTTATTGGCCCAGCATGCACCAAGCACTCTATGTGCACAATCTCTGACTCTTCCGGGAGGCCCATGAAGATAGGAATCTTGATAGACCTTGATAGATAAGATTCTGAGAAGCTGAGTACCTCTGCCAAATCACATAGACAGTGAGTGGTGGGGTCAAGGGGTGTACCCAGATAGTCTGACTCTGGCCCCTAACCACTCTATATACTGCCACTCCCCACATACCCCTTTCTTAGCTGCTGTTGGCTTCTTCTTGCCAATGAGGGAGGTTTTCATTTCTGCGTGAGAAAGAAGGTGAGGCATGAGTGAAGACAAAGAGAGGTCAGAGGCAGCAGCTCAATCCACACCATGCAGTTTCCTGGCAAGAGCTTCTAAAAAGAACAGCTTCAGGCAGGGGAAGGCAAAGCTGCTACCACCAGTTTCAACCAATGGTGTCAGGATAATCCAAGCCAAAGACAGACGAGACTAAAGGAGGTTACTGACTCCCAGCAGATTAAGACAAGAACTAGACTAAAGCAGCAGAGACCGTCAGAGTCCCTGAACCAACACGAGGACTGCTAGGCAGGGGCAGATACCAAATATCAGCCTCAGTTTCTAAAGCAGGGAGCTGGGTGCAAGGGACTAGGCTCCCCAAATGGCTGTTGGTTACCTCTGGCAGGAAGGGCACCTTTAGGTGACAGATACATGGACTCTGGAGAGAAACAGACTTGTGGCTAACAAGGGACCCACCCCAGAGCCTCCAAGTAGTTCCCAAGCCCAAAGGCCTCTACAGAACCTTGCTCTAGACCAAGCCATGCCAGCCTTCTCATGGGGTCGGTCTGACAGTCATTCTGCTGGCTTTCTGCCCCAATCCCCAAACGTGAACAGAATAAACTGATGTCAGCAAATGGACTGTTCACCCTGAGCCAGGACACTAAAGAGTAGAAAAGAGCTGAAAGGCTTCCCTGGCTAAGAAAAGACAATGTCACATCCAGCCACGAGCAGCTCAGAGCTATCTCCCCATCGCATTAAGTGGGCCAGAAGGCTAACCCTGCCTCAGACCTCAGGGTTAGGTGTCCAGTCTCATGCTGGCCTCCCCATACTTTGGCTAGAACCAGCCCCACACCCAGAGGCAGACCCAGGCTTGCGCACCAGCCCACCCAGGTTCATTAATTCAAAGGGCTTGGCTCTAACGTCCTTGCAGTTGATGTTGTAGACACAAATTCAGCTCCAATTCCACTCCAGAGAGTTAAGATGCTCAGTCTCCTGGGGCCTCAGTCCACGTGACTAGGCAACAGAGATCTGAAAAGAGCCTCGAGGCCCACCCTCTCCCAGTCACCCCACACCTGCCAGCTGTCATACTGACCCAGGGAAGCTTTGGGTGAGGTGCCAAGCAAGTCCGTGTTGGGGCCATGCTCCGGCTCTGTGGATGCAATGGTGGGAGTTAGATGTAAGGCTCAAAGCTCCCTGGGACTTCCCCATTAGGGAAGTGATGGGACAAGAATAAGGGGCACTGGCTTTCCTCAGCTTACTGAGGCCACCAAAAGATAAAAGGAATGCTCATCACTTCCTCCAAGGGATTAAAATGAATCCAAGCCCACCCAGAGATATAGGAGAACCCTCTACTCCTATTCCCTTGACCAGGTGTCCCATTCCCAGCCCCAAGGCCTTTGCCAGTACCAGGGCACTTGGCTGGAATCTGGGCTGAACTCACGTGCCAATCCACTACTCTCTGCAGACAGGACTGGCTGCTGGGTCTCTGCTGAGTCGGTAGCTGGTGCATTCCAGGCAGGGGGCTGAAAAGGCGGCCAGATCACAGAAGCCTCAATGAGCTCACAAGGAGCACCAAGAACCTACAAGTACCTTGTGGATATGATGCCCTACTCCAAGCCCATGAGGACAGGAGACTGCAGGTTAGCGAGTAAAATTATAGTTGCTATCCACTATGGAAGAAAGAAGTAGGAAACTAGCAGCCACTTCCACCCTTCCACTATTTATTTAGAACCAGAACCTGTTCTCCTAATTTAATAACAACTAACAACTACTGGGCACTTACCATGTGCCAGGTACAAGTCTCAGAGCTTTTCACATAGAAACAAATTATCACAACAAACCCTGTGAGGTAAATACATCTCTATTGTAGAGACTGGGGTTTTGACAGGTTAGGTGACTTAGCCACATCCTGGAAATGCCAAGTAGAGGAGCTGGGATTCAAACTGGGAGTCTAACATCAGCCCCAGTGCCAGTAGTGGGTTTCTGGGGAGGATTCCTTTCATTGTCCCCAACCACAGTGCCTCTCTTATAGGGGAAGAATCCAGGAAAGGTGTTTAAGGCTCCTGAAACCTCTTGAGCCTTCAAGAAGCTTCTCCTCCTGCTCCCTAGCACCCCAGCTTATAGACGGGAGTCTGTTCCTAAGAAGGGCCACACTGTGCACCTACTCTTGGGAGGAGGAAATACCTCAGTCTACCTAGCAGTGAGCACCAGACATTCCCAATCTGAGATATCACACCAAGGCGGATGGAATCCATGCCCATGATCACAGAAGGCCTTGGCCAGTAAACCACCTGTCAGGAACAATCATGGGAAACGTTCCTTGCAGGTACTCACTTGTGTGTGTTCCACGAAGAAATCAGAGTCCTTCCTCTCTGGGGAGTGACTGGGAGCACTACACATGCTGTCGATCCAAAGCTAGAAGTGAAAGACACCCCTGAAACAGCGTTCTGAATATTCCCACTCACCCCACTACCCCAGCCCCGAAGGCCAGGCACTTACATCAGTGCCATGCTTAGTCATGGCAGCACTTCCCAGTTGCCGGATCTTTTCACGGTACATCTGGGCAGCTCGGCTATTATACTTGGTGTTGGTATCGCTGGCTGTGCATCCATGTTGGCGGAAGAAAGCTGTCTGAAAAGTAAAGGAGAGAGGAGAGCATGCTCCACGTGATTCTCCTGAGAGCAAAAAAAGGCACCCCCTTATAACAGCCCAGTTATTTATACAGGATAATACACTCTATTGACACCAGCAGTTTTCCATAGAGATAAAGATTGTCAGAAATTCCTGAAGAAAACACATCCTCCCATCCTGTGAGATGACTGACTGAAGTCCAGCCCTCACTCAACCCCACCTGAGGACAGCATACCATACCCGCTCTGGCCATCCTTCACACATCCATGCCAAGACCTGGATGACTGTGGAGGCCCCAACTCCCTTGGCCTTACCCCAAGAACATCTATCCAGTTTAGTTTTAATCTGAAGCCCCTTTGAGAAGAACAGTGACCAATTTCCAAGTTTAGAAAACAGTGTACAGTGTTGCTGTATACCAGAGAATCCTCTGAACAGAGAAAGTGAGAGAGCCTCCTAAGAGATCATGGTAAAGTTAGTACCCAGGCAGGAGAACAGGGGCAAGGAGGATGATAAAAAGGAGCTTTACCGCACTGGCGTTCCCGCCGACCTGCATACACCTCAGCTGGAACCAGTTCCAGTTGGAATCCAACTCTGTGGACCTGTGTGCAAGGGCTGCATGTCACCAACCAGCAGATACCAGGAGACGCTTCCCTGGCAGACCCACACCTGTCATTTGGCCTCCCGCTGCAGTACCCGCCCAGGAAACAATCAGCCACCACCCTATTTCCTCCACTATACCCCGTCCATGAAAGCTTTGCTCTTCCCTCCCGTAGTCAAAATGGTACTAATTATTTTCCACCTCCGAAAGGAGGTCGAATTCTCATGCACTTAAGCTTGGTTTTGGCTTTCCCCTTAACGACTGCCACAGTCTCACTTAAGACATACTCGACCAGTACGTAAGCAACAAAGTCAATGCAGCTAACTTTTCCCCAAAACTAACGCTCGGAGAGCCGAGTTTGACCGCCATGAAAGAAGGGAGTTTTGGCCCAGGCGTGGAGACGAAGTGCTTGTGTGGCAAGGGATCCACACGGGCGGTTGCCTCTCACGGGAGGCTACCGGACCCCGGAGGTTTCCCAACACCGAATTCTGGGTGGCCCCAGTCGCCACTCTGCCCTCCTGGGCACACAACCCCGGCCGGGTGTAAACACAGCAGCCATAAGGAGACCTCACCTGATGAAGCTGAGATGGACACCCAGGGAGCGGTGCACCCCGGAGCAGTCAATGCACAAGAAAACACCGTACGTGATGCTGGCCCAACTCGGATTCTTGGCGCCACAGTCGAAGCAGGCCTGGGTGGGGGAGGCGATGAGCGAATAATTAGGGGCCCCAAGTGGAGGCCCGGCACTGACACCAAGGAAAACAGCCCGCGTCCGCCCTTCTCCCTCCCTCCGGCCCCAGGGGAGCCGGCAGAATCCCTCTCGGCCGACGCCAGACCCCGCGGACCTCCCGCTCAGGCACCTTGTTGGTCGGAATTGCGCGAAGCCTCTTAAAAAGGGTCTGGATTTCGGTCTTGCTAGGCTCGGACGCCATTTTCTCTCCTTCCCAGATGCCAGCGCGATGGACGGGCCCCGGCGCGGGCCAATCCGCGGCCGGGAAGGCGGGGCACGCGGTCGGCCTCAGCCACGCCCTAGCCAGCCGAGGGGTGGGGCGACTTGTCCTGAGCTGGACCAATGAGCGGCCGGCTGAGCAGGCGCAGAACCGTCAGAGCCCCGCCCCCACGTGGTCGCCCGAATCCA